TATAATGTTATATTTAACTGTAAAATTATGAAGTAAATATGAAACACTATTAACCTGTATAAAAAAGATAATTTTTTATATTTTTTGTTTACTTGAAATAAAAAACAAAGTGAAAGCAGATGAAATCTCCTTGTAAAAAAGTCACCTAACTATTTCTAAAACTTATAATAGTTTTTTTAAAAAGATTAATAATGATGAAAACTCCTCGACCTATATGATACAAGTAATAGAAAAAGTTTAATCAAAAATGGAAACATTCGACTTACATACCACTTGGGCAATATCAATCGTTAAAGTATTATTAAATTCCGATAATAGAAAAATCAGTGTGTCAGAATAAATTTTCTTAAAAAAATATTGTAAATTTTTTACAGAACTATTTTCGTTTTGAATAATTCTGAAAAATACTAATTAAATAAAACATAGGCTAAAATATCAAATAAAGAAATTGAAAATGAAGTGGAGGAAGATGTACAAGAATTTTTTTTTTCGTTTTTGGTCTTTTCATCTTTGGAAAAAACTAGAGAAAAATGAAAAAATAAACTTGAGAATATTGATAATATGATATCTTCACTTGTAGAAATTTGAAAAAAATGTATTAAAGAAAGTATACAAAACTATTAATAAAAAAAGAAAAACAAATAAAAGTAATAAAGATAATGAAGGTGACAATGACAATGATGACGATGACAATGATGACAATGATGATGATGACGATGACAATGATGACGACAATGACGATGATGACAATGACAATGACAAAGAAGATGAAGATAATGAAGAATAATAAAAACAATATATATATGATAATGTATATAATTATATAGAATATTCTGAAAATTTATTAATTATATATAATATTTTGAAAATTTATGTAATAGAATATTCTGAAAATTTATTAAATCAATAAAATTAATAAACAATTAATGTTCAATAATAATATCATTACAATATGCATTTATTTTTGCAATTAACTATTTAGTTTCAGAAAAATCTATAAAATATCAAAATGTTTTATATGTAAATCTCAAATTTACTATTATAATAATTTCACAAATATCTATGAAAATAAATAGAATTTACAAAAATATATATATATATTTTTAAAAATAAATAGAGATTTACAAAAATATATGTAAAAATTTTTGAAAATAAATGAAACAAAAAATTTCAGAAATTTATGAAGGTATTGTATAATTCTAAAAATTTAACGAGGTAAAAATTTTCAAAATATTTCACTTTTAAAATTTCCTAATGATGGAAATTTAAATTTTGATAATAATGAATTATTAAATAATTTATTTTGAAAGATCTATTATTATTTTTTAATATATTATTTTTAAACATATTTTTTAATATATTATTTTTGAAGTATTTTTATTTTGGATTTTGGATCTCAAAATGAAGTATAAATATTTCACTAAATTTTTTTTTTTAAACAACTTGGTTAGAAGATGAATTTACACAAATAATAAGTAAAGGTTCAAGTAATTCTTTATAATTAAGCAAAACAAAATAAATTAATTTTATATATTTTTTTATATTTTATAAATAAATTATAATTTTTAATTTTTTTTTTTTTATTATAATAATAAATTGTTATATAAATATATGAAGAAAACCATAATAATTTTTAAAAATCTATAATATAAAAAAAATTCTTACAAATAAAAAAAGAAAAAAAAAGAATAAAGAAAGATGTAAAAAGATAATGCAGTATTAATTATAATATAATTTATTATAGCATCAAACTTTAAAATTTTTTTAAAACATTAAACTTTCAAAAAGTATTAAAATTACACTTGTAATATTATGGAATTTTTTACATTTATACTTGAAAAAATTTTTTAATATAAATAATATTGTAAAAGTTATAATTAAAATTTTTAAAAATAAAAATAAAAATATATATTTATATATAAATTTTTGTAATGTGTTAAAAAAATAAATTTTTTTTTTGTAAATTTGCAAAATATTTAAAAACTTGCAAAAGATTTTTGGAAATTTTTGCCTCTTAAAATTTCCTGATGAATCTAAATTAGATTCAGATTTTCTTAATCAAATTTAAATTATAAATGCTTATCCTTAAATATTTATAATTAATTAGGATAAATCTGAATCTATCCTTATTTTTAAGATCTATTCTTGTTTTTAGGATCTATTTTTATTTTTAGGACCATCCTTATTTTTAGAATCCATTTACATTATTTTTCTCTTTACCTATTCTTCTCTTATTTCGCCTACCCTTTAATTACTTTAACCATGAAGCAAATTGTCTTTATTATAATTTCTTTTAAAACACTTGTTAATAATTATATTATTATTAATTAATTATACTCTCCCTCATTTACTGTACAATAATAAAAATAATAATATTATTTTCGTATATAAAATTATATGAGTTGGTGTAACACTCTAAATAATTTATTTGGAAATAATAATGAACAAGATAAAGAAAACCCATCTCTCAAACAAGTGAAAACTCAAGAGGAAGTTTAAACTATACTTGCACGCAAAATTATTTTGGGGCCCCGAAATTGCAATTTCGGGAAAAAAGTCAAAATAGTTTTTCATAGAAGACAAAATTATTTTACTTAAAACCTGAAATTTTTTGATCACCCAGATTTATTCTTTGATTAAAGATACATATAACTGGATACTTTTTTTATTTTCATATATAGAATAGATTTTGTATAAATTTCAAAAAGTTGAAATATCTCAAAAATCCAAAATCAATTTTGAAAACATGTATAGTTTAAACACACCTGAAACTACAGACAATTTACTTTGGAAAACTTTAAGATACATCTCAAGAGAAGACTTAATCTGGAATCCCAACAAAGTAAGAACAACTATTCAACTCATACCACAAGAACAATAATATCCAGGGCATCAAAAAGAGTTAACTCTAGTCTGCTGATTACAAGAAGAGACCAACTAAGCAGAGCAAGAACACCATAATCACCATATTCACGAAGAACAAGAGAAGTAAAGATTAGAATTAAAATATATAAAATATATAAGGAACTACGAAGAACAAGAGTAACAAAGACAAAGAAGACAATAAATATTATCAATACTCCTATGATTTATATCAACCACACCATCTACTCCAATTACCTTACCTCCTACATTATCACATTACTGAAATTATCTATTAATCGTCACAGGACTTTCAATAACTTAACCTATAGTCTATTCCACATCACGAGCAAGAGAAGAACCTGTTCAACATATTATTCTTATCACAGAAGAAGGTGAACAAGTTATCTCCACTCAAGAAATCAAGGAAATTTTATTATTTAAATAAATTTTAATATGTAATAAAAAATGCTAAAAAATATTGGCACGTGTATCACGTGTATATATATAATTCGGATTATGATCCGGATGATCCGTATCCTTAATCCGTTTCTATTTCGGATAAATCTTTTTTAAAATAAATAAATTCGGATTATAGGATTTATCGGATTAAGGATAGGAACACTAACTTATAGTATCAAAAAAAAATAACAACCCTAATTTAAAAGACTATTCGAATTCAATCTGAATTTATTCAATCAAATCCGAATTATAAATCCTTATCTTTAAAATTTAGGATTAAGGATGAATTCGGATGGATCCTTAAAATAAGATGAATCCTAAAAATAAAGAAAAATAAAAAAATTTTACATGATCTGCATCTAATTTTAATATATAATTTTTGAGATCCTATAATCCGGATATAGATTTTTAAAAAAGGTTATAAAATAACATATGATCTATTCGAATTTATCGGACACAGGTATATCAAAAAAATCTATCGAATGATACTTTTGCGACTTTTGCATCAGGGACGATGATTTTCTGGGGTGATCATATGGGCCGATTTGATTCCAATCAGGGATGGAACCATTTATATATTTATTTCTCTGCAGGCCATGGTAAAACATTGCATTTAGTAAAAGTGTAATATGGACATCATGATTTTCGATTTTTTATACTTGATATTGATGCATCCCATTCATGAACCCTACCATCGCAAATGGGATCTATTATTAATATATTTATTTGAAATACATTCTCCACCTTTATTAATTGCAATTATCTTTGCAATTTCAAGTGTTTATGTGCAATGTGGACACCAGTACTAATAATTCCATAATTTTTTTTAATATTACTTCAAACTCATTTCTGAATCAATTAAAATAAGAAAATCTCCGGGAATTTTTGCATGTATAATTCACAAGATCAAAATTTACATGCTATTAATCAAAAAAAAAAAAAGAACAAAGTGCAACAAGTATAGTGAACCTAAATTTTTTTTTGGTCTTAGTTGATGAAAAGACCATTAGCAAGATAAGATTGTCATACTTCAGCCGTAAATGAATGGAATTCTTTAATATCTTATTATACTAGAAATGATATATTATAAAATTACTATAAAAAACAAATATATTTTGGAACAAAGTCTTTACAATGATAACTGACTGTAAGAATATACAAATAAATAAAAAAAAATAAATAAAAAAAAATAATAAAAATATGTGAAACTTTTAAGAATGAAATAGTTATCTTGATTGTATTATTTTCTAATTACGATTTAAAGAATATAAATATATCAATTAAATTAATGAACGACTAACGAAACGATTAATTTCGGGTTTACCATATTTTAAAATATTAGATAATATTATATAAATATGGGTTCCTTTCTCCTAAACTTCTAATAATATTAATAAAATCAAATTGTACAAAAAAAGGCTTTAAAAGGCGATAATCTTAGATTCACAAACCATTACGTAACTTCGCTACATGATTACGTAACAATGTGACAATGATATCATAATAGTGATAGTGATAAAAGTTAAAACAATAATTGTGTGTAAACACGTGTCGAGAAAATGAAAAACACGTTGATTTTAATAAATTTGTACCCAAATTAAGAAGTATTTATTGATATATATAAAATACACGCGATTTTATCATATTTTTTTTTTAATGAATCTGTTTTGAGTATAATGAGTAAAACAAAGAATAAGGTTTAAGTTTAAAGATGCTTTCAAGATACTATAAAGATAAGATATAGATCAAAACTTCCTTCATAAGTATTTAACTCGGTAAATCTGTCTATTTCACTATTTAATTTTGGCTTATTGATTGGTATTTATATTTTGATTTTTTTTTTTTTTGGATCCTCGACGCGATATCAATAATACGCAAAAGATTTTTTTAATTAATTTCACGATAATTTCAACCACTATACCAAATATGTTTTTTAATTTAACTTTTCGATATGACATAAATAACTAAGTTAAGTTAAATTAACGCATCATGTATTATAAAAACATTTGATCATTTAATATTATTATAGTAATTAGAGTTTATTCCCTGTTGCAAAGCGGTCAAATTTGCCCGCGGATTTTAAATTATTGATCGACACTATTAGATGACGAAGATATTTAGAATCTGGTAATTTGGTTTAGGAGGATTTTTAAAAATAAAATAATACATAAATCAAACTACTATTCATATATAAAATCAAAATAACACTTTTCAAAGTCAGAGAGAAATAACTTTAATTTCCAAAGTTAAAATAAATGTAATAAATAGATATGACGTGATTCGAATAGTAATTAAAATAACTAAAAGCAACAAAGTAACCTAAAGCAATTATAAAGTAACTAAAGGAAATTGTAAAATAAATTAAAGTAAACTCAATTAATTAAAGCAAGTCTCCCTAAAGTAACTTTTGATTCACCACGTTATTATCCAATTCTAATCGTCATTTTTATTCCTTAAACATTTTCAATTTATCCATTTTCATATATATCATATATAATGATTGACAAACCAATTAAAGAAAAAATTAAAAGAAATGAAAAAAATGACTAATTATATATATAAATATATTTTTGAAATTACCGATTTAAAAGAAATAAAAGAAATAAAAGAAATAAAAGAAATAAAAGAAATAATTTGGAAATGTTAATTATTACGCTATATGCATAGTAGAGAGAACATTTAAGTATTTATTTTTTTTCTCTTAATTTTTCTAGATGAAACTAAACGAACTAAACCAGTGAATGTGATTAATATCTTCCACAAATAAAAATTTTTTAATCCGTTTATGATATTATTACGAAATAACCATGAGTTATTCACATAATATTCACAAATATTCACATGAATCCCATGCAAAATAATTAAATAAGTTTTTGTTTTTCTTTTTTTTATAGTAATTTTTTTAACTCTAATTTAACTGGATAACTGTAATTCAACATAATAATAATAAAAAAAAAAAAAAAAAAAAACAAATATCCCCCTTCCGCAAACATCACCACAAAACTAAAAAACCTGAATTGTTATTGTATCACAAAGGTATAATGTAAATTAAATAATCCATAAAAATATATTTTAACAGGTAAAATCACAACTGGGGCAAAAGAATAATTCCCCTTTCAATATGATAGATATATATATATGTAAATGATGTTCTTTGCGTACATGTCTCTATGAAAATATTTAATAATATATTATTTAGATTTCCAAGATCAATGTAAAAGAAATAACTTTCTTTATACAAAATACATATATATACATGAATCGATCGATCACGTGGAAATAGATATAAATATAAAAAGATAATTATTGCATTTTGCATTTACGTATATATAAGATTTCAATAAAAGATAATTATATACATTTACGTATATATAAAGATTAGTTTAAAATTCCGAATTTGTGCAAGGCAAATTTTTTTTATTATAGAAATACATTATAAACAGAATCATTTTCGGTTGCTTTTTAATTATTTTTTCTTAAAATTTTTCTTCTTTATCATTATTATAATTAGTGCCTTTGAAGCTGTAAAAAATTGGGATTTATTATTATTATTATTTCAAACGATTTGATTACTTTTTTTTTCATTTCATTTTTCCCATTTCTTTACCTTTCCTTCCCTCCATCTTCTATCTCTTAAGGCAATTCAAATTTAAAAAAAAAAATAAAAAATATATATATATATTATTATCTGATCTTTCTCTGGATAAAAATCAATATATTTGGTTGATATATAATCTCTCACCTTCCACTGATTTTTTTTTTATTCTCCCTTTCACCCTTATCTTTTAATTCTTTTAATTTTTTCAACATATATTTTATATTTATCACCTAATATTTTTTTCTACATATTTTCTATATATTTGATAAAAGAGATATATATATAAAAAGTTATTTAATTTGTTCTCCTTGTTATTAATTTTTTTTAAATATATATTTTTTTTAGAACAACATACACATTTTCACGCAATTTCACATTTTATTACATAAAAATTTTAATTAATAAATAATAATAATAATTAAAAAAAATGTTTAAATATTTTCAAAACAAAACACAGCCTCATTACCAACAAGAGACACCAACTTTATCTTCCCCTCTATCGCCTAATACAAATATATACCAGGATGAAGATGAAGTACCTTATCTTGCAGAAGCAATGCCAGTAGATTATTCGTCAACATATAATTCATATAATTATAATTCTCAACTTCAACCACCTTCCTCACCCACTTCTCCTTCTCACTCAATACCGTCTTCTCGTAACCTTCATCATCATCAATCTTTTTATCCATATAATAATAATATGATCTCAGAACCAGTTAAAGACTTAAAACTTTGTCTTGATGGAGAAAATAAAGACACATTTGTGTTTGTACCTGGTTTATTAAGTTATGATACAATCGAATTACCATTACCTGGTGGGAAATCTTGGACAATCGCTGATAATTGGAGTGATGTTAAAGAAATGATTGATGATCCGTTAATTGTTAGTCCGAATCCTTTCGGTGTAAGTGTTTTTTCATACATTTTACACAATCTTTGATTATTTACGATTTTATTATATAAAAAAAATTTTTTTTTTAACTTTTTGTTCTTACACATATATATATGAATATAGTCCGTTCACGATCGTGCAGTACAAATTTATTATCAGATCAAAGGTGGACAAGTTGTACGTATATAATAATAATAATAATAATAATAATAATCATAATAATCATAATAAAAATAATAAATAAATAAATAAATATTTTAACAAAATAAACGATAAATTTATTTTCTATCGTTATATTTATAGGATTATGGACTGCAACATTCGCATAATTTTTGTCATAAACAATTAGGTACATTTTTTTTATTAGATAAATGTGGTCTCAACTTTAGAATAAAATTTGACTAAAGCTAAATTATTTCTAATCTACCTTACAAAAATTAGGTGCAACATATGAAGGCTTGATGCCTGATTGGAGTCCAGATAATCCTGTAGTTTTAATTGGTAATTAAAATAAAATATATAATACAAAATATAATAATAATAATAATAATAATAATAATAATAATAAGAAAATAAAAAATATAAAAAATAATAATTAAAAATATAATTAAAAATATAATTAAAAATATATAATATATAATGAAAAAAATATAATAATAAAAAATATAATGATATTATTTAGGTAAAGGGTATGGAGCAACAACAGCACTTCACCTTCAACATCTTCTCTCGACCAATTTTTTTGGTCAACATACTTCAGGAACGATGATTAAAGGAATAATTTGTTTATCTGCACCTCATCGTGGTTCCACGCTTCCTTATTATCTTGGTCTCGTACCTGGATCAAAATGCCATGTTAATACAATCTCAATCCTTCAATTCTTTTTATCAATAATTCATTTGATTTGTTATTTTACTTTCCTTCAAAGAATTTTTGATTTTCAATTAAATGAACAATGGGGTCTCTCTTCAAAATCTAAAGGAGGTGAACAATCGTTATGGAATGCTATTACCGCACGTAGCAGATTTTCTTATTTCGGGGATAATTTCTTATTAGATTGGTCAGTAGAGGGAGCTAGACAACGTTATGCCGGTGATGAAAAAGATAAACATCATTTAGATGATCATTGTGTATACATAAATTATGTGACAACTGGTCATTCATGGAGATCAAAAGTAACGGGACATTTTTGGGTAATTATAACATTTAGATTATCCTTTATCTTTACATTATCTTTTTATTATCCTATCTTTACATTATCTTTATATTATCTTTAATCTTTATATTATCCTTTATCCTTATATTATCCTTTATCCTTATATTATCCTTTATCCTTATATTATCCTTTATCCTTATATTATCCTTTATCCTTATATTATCACTTATATTATTATTTATGACTTTTTTATCAAATATTTAGCCACGATTAACTTGGAAAAACCTCCAAACTTCTATAATTTCTACTTTACTTGGTCAGTACAAATTTACACCCGAGGAAGAACAACAAGTATTACGTACTCAATCTTCTACTTTTTGGCAAAATGATGGAACTTTACCTATTTATAGTCAATGCCCTCCACCACATCAAAAAGTTTTAATGAATATTTCATTGGATGATCAACTTTATGATCCTTTAAAGCATGAAATTCAACCTGGAATATGGTACAATGTTTATGTTGAAGATTTATCAAAAACAATCTTATTCGATGATGTTCCATTTTTATTTACTCAAGGTTTAAGTGATTTATCAATCATCAAAAAAATTGGTCAATTCTCATCCAATTATAATGATACATTCGAAAATTATTATGTTTTAGGAATAGAAACATTAGAAAAAATAACCATCATAATTAAAAATAAGTTATTTTCGAAAGGTAGAAAAAATATTGAATATTTTACATCATCATCATTACCATCATCATTATCATCATCAAAATCATCATCAGATTTGTCAATGATTTTAATGGAAAGAATTGAAAAACGACAAAGTGATAAAGCTGGATCAGAATGGACTCAAAAGATTGAAACAATGGAACTTATTAATAGTCCTAGTAAATTGCTTTGGTGGATGAATCGATTTCAAAAAATGCAAGAAAATTCTGGATCTAATAATAAAGAAAAAGGAGATGGAACATCATCAACAACAACTTCATTCGCCACTGCACCATTTATGCCTGGTCCAATGTTTGTAAGAGACAAACGTAAAATGACTGTTGAAGATTATAGTGCTACCATAATGAATGGAAATGCTGGTGGAATTATATCAAGTTCTATTATATCAAGTTCTTAATAAAAATAACAAAAAAGTTGTTATGCGTGTAATAATGTATGTGTGTGTAATATGTATGTTTGTGTAATGTGTTTGTGTCTGTAGGTGTGTGTGTGTTGGGTCGTGTGAAAGTTATAATTATTTAAAAAAATTAAAAAGTTTTTTTAATAATTTTAAAAAAGAGGAAAAAGAGATGTAAAGATTATTAAACAATCAATTAGATATATTGATTATATTACATATTAATGATATATTGGATATATATTATATATTAATGATATATTATCATATTTTATTGATGATATCTATTTTTACGAATATTAACGACATTATTTGTTTTTTTTTAAAAAAAAAAAAAAAAATAATACAACGTTAAACATAAATTTAGCATTTTTTTTTTTACTTTACTTTCTTAAAATATATTAAATATAATAAATATATTCAATACATTTATTAACTTTTAGATTTGATTCACAAAAAAAATATTAAATAATAAATAAAGTTACTCTATCATTCTTCTACTTACTCTTTTTCCGTTTCTCGTTGTCTTCCTTATTTTCCTTTGAAATTACATCACGTGTATAATGTAACATATGCATGGTCTTGGTATAAAGTTTTTTTTTTTTTTTTTTTGATCAGGGTAATTTTCAACAACATCCCTCCCCCACCCACGTTTTTTCTTTGCTTGTTATTTCGTTTAACTTCTAACCTCTTATTTTATTTTTTTATTTATAGTAACGTTCATTTGTGAATATATTAATGATAATGTCTTCAACAGAGAATTCTCTTAGTACTTTATCTCAACCACTTTTTTCTGCTGTGGTTACTGAAGGAACTCACTCAACAAGAGAAGTAAAGCAACTTAATAATAATAATAATAATAATAACAACATCAACAAATTTAAGGAGGAACCAAATGGCAAACAAAAAAACCAAAATCATTCTCAACAAGAAAATGGAAATAACATCAACATCAACATCAACATCAAAGAAGAACCGAATGGCAAACAAAAAAATCAAAATAATTCTCAACAAGAAAATATAAAATCTAATAATGTTAATATTAATACCACTGGACGTAATCAACAAATACAAGTTTATCAAAACGGTGATTCAAACGATATAACAACTACTGATGTTGATGCTCAATTTATAAATCCTATTTCTTTTTTGAATACTATGCATCAAAAGTTAAAAACCACCGCTCCACCTGAATATTCATTCTCTCATGATTCCGTAACTGGTCAATTTTATTGTCAAGTTCATTTCTGTGGTCAAACCTATCAAAATCAAATTGCCAAACCTAAAAAACAAACTGCAAAAGAAGAAGTAGCATGTATCGCTATGAGAGATCTTTCTATTAGAATGCCAGATATTACTAATCAAATTCGGGCAGAATTAATTCGTGCTCAAATTTCTTCTCAAAAAAGTAAATTTGGAGGAAATAAGAAACTTGTTGGTAATAATATTAATAATGTTAATATTAATAATAATAATAATAATAATAATAATAATGGAATGAACGGAATTAATGGAATTAATCGTCAATCTATTACATTACAAATGCGACCTCCACATCCATTAGAACTTGAACCAAAATCAAAGTTATGGTATGATAAACAACAACAACAAGCTGCAAATAATAGACAAAAAAAACGACCATGTGTTCTTCTTTTAGAATTTTGTCAAATGCATAAATTGGGTCATCCGGTTTATGACATTAGAGATGATGGTAGAGGGAATTATTTATTCAATTGTACAATTAATGATCGAACCTTTACTCCGGAAGTCGCATTTTGGCAAAAGAATGATGCCAAAGATCACGTTTCTACAATAGCTTTTAATGTTTTATTTAAAGAAATTTGTGAAAAGGAATCAATGGAAATTCAATATCGACATCCTCATTTTCAACCACCACCACCACCACCATTACCACCATTACCTCATAATCAACAACCTCATATAGGAGTTCCAACTTACGGTAATGTTATGGCAATGTATCCTCCAAATGATGGTGTATATATTGCTAATAATATGTCTCTCGTACCAGCGAATTATGTGTTTACAAATAATGGAAATAATGGACAAAATCATGCACTAATTCCAAGAAATTCTTGAATGGTTTTGTGCGTTATTAGTTATAATTGTTATAATTGTTGTAATTGTTTTTATAATTATATAATTATTATAATTATTATTATTTGTTATGATGGATTATTATTATTATTTTTATTATTATTATTATTTATTTATTTTTTTTTTTATTATTTATTTTTTTTTTTTTATTATTATTATGAATTATTATTTTATTTTATTTTTTATTTTTTTTTTTTTTTTAATTTTATTTCGAAAAGGAGGAAATATGCGTACAGCGTAACATATTTTCATTATTTTCATATAACTAATAATTATTATTTTTTGAAATTCGAAACGAAAAATTTATCTTGAAGATCTCTCTCCTACAAACATATAAATAACGAATTTGTCTTTATAAAAACGAAATCACAAGAGAAAACCTATTACACATACAAATTAGTTTTTTATATTTTTTTGAAGGTGATATCAGAATATATATATATATATATATATATATTCAAAACAAGAAAAAAATGTTGGAAACTGTATTCAATTATTCTCAAAATAAATTTTGGTGGTTTCTTTTTTCTTTTTACATAATATATTTTCACTCATGAATTATAGTTATAAATCTTATATTATTTTATTATTACCTTTGATTTTTCTATTGTGATGAATATAAATAAGTCAAATCTAAATGATTTAACAATAAGTTCATATATTAAAATTTTTATGAATGGTCTACAAGGACATAAGAAATATGTGAAATGTGAAAAATATAAAATATCTTTAATATTTATTATGTTCTCTTAATTATTATAAATTATTATATAATTTTAATTTCACATTTATTATAAAAAGTCCCAAGGATCAAAGTAGTAGAAAGGAAATAAAAAAATAGATTGTTTACTTCATTAACCCCTTTTTAGAAAGTAAATAATTTAAATAAATAAAGAACAATGTATAAAGAAATTACCCCAAATACAACGAAAAAAATAAATAAATAAAAAATATAATTGGACAATACCTAAAAAATTCTAAATATACTTTAAATATAACTTTAAATATACTTTTGTTGGTGAGAATTTTGATCATCATTAGGAGATGTTTCTGATCATTTTTTTCTCAATTTGACAAATATAAATATAAAATTTAGTGTATAAAATACATCACAAATAAATGTCCAAAGTAAATATCTATATCTACAAAATGTTTTCATATTTTTTTTTAAAAACAAACAAACAAACAAACAAAATAACTAATAGAATAGAATAGAATAAAAAGTAAAAAGAATAAAATTTGAGATTCCGAAATGTGAAAGAAAAAATATAACATATATCTATCTATCTATCTATTTATCTATCTATCAATCAATCAATCAAGAAGAAACCAAATGAATGTGTCAACAATAGTCATGATAAAGCCATGATAAAGTCAGGGATAGTCTAAACTAAATCAAGTATAATAAAGATCAATTTATTATACATTATTCATAATGATTTCACTAATGATTAAAAAATATTACCTTCCCAAATATAATTAATATAATTGGAAATTTACTACTTCGATTTTGTGTCAAGAAAGAAGAATTCGGAATCTCAACACAGAACCTAGCTTCGTCGCCAAATCTGCGAGATTTTACGTCTCAATTCAGAGATAATTTGTTCTTTAGATTCTAAAAGTCCATCTAAATCATCAAGATACCGTTCAAATGCATCAACGGTAACATCATGTGCACCACCTAAATCATCATTGGAATTCATTTCTAAGGTGAAATTAGCCAAGAGTTTAGTTTCTTGTTTATTAGAATCACTAACTTCTCTTAACTCATGTCTATGATGTTTAAGAAATTCCTCTATCTCTTGATGTGTAATGGATTGTGATGATAATGAATTATCATTTGAAGTATTCGAATATCGTGGAGATGAAGAATATGGTGAAGAAGGTTGTTGAATATGATAAGGAATTGTTGTTGAGGTAGATTGACGAGAATCTGGTGAATCTGTAATAGTTAAATTAGACATAATGTCCGATGAATCAAAATCATTTTCTTTACCGAACAATTCATCTGATATGCCAATAAAATCTTCATCAACAATTCCGTCTGATGGCATTTCTTCTCCAAATAGATCATTATCATCATCACTAAGAAATTCATCTTCAAAGGAACCTGATCCTTCATCATCGTCATATGCTTGATCGTCTTCTTCTTCTTCTTCATAACCTTCATATGTATATCCTTCCATTTTTGATTGTGCATCAGAATAATATTGTTGTCGTTGTTCGTCGGTTAACCCGCGAAGTTCATTTGCTGCCAATTCAAGACCGGCAGCGACTCGATCTGCGCGATCTCGTTCCGATTTAAGTTCTTTAACTCTGAAATGTATCACAAAAATCAAAAAAAAAAAAGTGATTTAATAACTAATTAATGATTATTATTATTATTTTTTTTTTTCAAAAAAAAAAAAAAATTGATAAAAACTTTCAATGAATTTACCTATCTGCATATCGTAATGTGTTGAGAGTATGTTCACTGTTTGAAATATTTGGGGAAACTGTAGCGATCATACAAGTTCGTGAATTTCCAACGAACGAATCTTTCAGAACCTACACATCATCACATATATATCATTAAATATAATTACATATATATAATTACTTATAATTAAATTTTATATTATTAAAAAAAATACCTGTGTCAGTTTACTTTGACGAAAAGGTGTATGTTTTTTATCTTGATCTAATGCACGAATGCATTCTTTCAATGCTAACAAACTTTTGTTAATTTCAGCACCTTCCATCCTATTATTATATAACAATAAAGAAGAAAATGTTAAAAAATATATAAACAACACACACACACACACACATATATATAAATAAAATATGAAACACACCTTGTTTGTTTATCTGCATCACCTCGGTCTGCTCCACGTTCGCTACCAGCTAAATCGATGAAGCTGAGCTTTCCTGAAATTATACTAAGAACATAAATTTATAGTTTCTTAAAAAATTTTAATTATTATATTCAATAATCAATAAACTACCATGAAACTTCTTTCGATTTTTTTTATGTTTTAATACTATCTGCAAGATAGCATGTGATCTAGAGGAGTCTTGATTTGCTCCAGTACTACCTATTATAAATAAATAAATAAATAATAATAATAATAATAATAATCATAATAATCATAATAATATTAATTGATAATAAAAAATTTATAATTATTTTTTTTCACTTTTAATTACCTGTACTCCTAGCCATATTTCCATAATCAAATACTTGCATCAAAGCATCTACGTTATCAATGGAATATTCTTGAAGACCTGAAATTACTACATTTTTCTTTCCGTCTTCTCGAGCAAATAATTTCTTCCTTTGATTTAAAAGATCATACAGTTGTCCCTGATAAATTTCATAGAATCCAATGTAAGATGCTAAATGAGTAAATTCCTCCCGCCGTAATAAATTAAATATATCCCTGGCCGCCAAAACGTAAAGGCCTAAAATTATATAAAACGTTATATTATATTAAATAATATTATATTAATTAATTAATTAATTAATTAACTATGAAGACGTAAATATAAATTTTTAATTCTAATTTACCTTGTTTTTCATCAAGCATTGTATGAGTTTTACCACTTCCTTTAGGAACAAATCAGAGAAATGATATAAAATTTTTCCTTAAAATATATTATGTATAAAATTAATTAAACGTACCCGTTTGACCACTATTTATTTTATATTTTTTTTTTTTTTGAAAAAAAAAGAAAAGAAAGTTCAAAGTTAAGGATATTACTTTATATTTAATACATTATTATGTAATGTAATTTATAAATCAAAAAGGATACTATGCAAAACACGTGGCTTTTCCTCCTCTAAAAATGTATTCAACCAATGGTAATGCGGTTCTTTGATATACCTAAAACCATGATATTTAATTACACATTTGTGTGTTGGATGAAAATCATCATTCTTATTACATGAACAAATGAATGAATGAAAAAATATTTTACCTCTTCATTACTAGCGTCAGAATCAAACACATCGTCAAATACAAATGTGTGTTGTTCAACGTATCTCGTCAAATCGACTTTCATTCTAATTGGATGGAATAAGCAAATTACGTGAATTATTCCTCCGCTAACTAATAATGGGTAATAACGATTTGCAAAAAGCTTTTTTTGAGTATCAATAGTATAGAAATCAGAAGATTCAACAAAATCTCACTTCGGTTCATTTATGAGAACAGTCCTTTGGCTATTTATTGTAGCAATATCTTTTTCGTTTCTAGCGACTTCTTTTTTGTTGAGTGGTCGTTTACGTACACATACTCTGATCTTGTCATTTAAATTACTAGGTGCGTAGGATCGAGAATAAGAGTTACCCCTTGATGGGTGTCGTGATGGTAAACCATACGCGTTTAAGCGTCGGTTCGGTGATGAATTTTGTATAAGCTCTTCTTCCTCATCTTCTTCGGGCGGCAGTTGTTGCTGCATTACTGATGGCGGTGTTGTGTTTTTACCGCCAACGAATGGTGATGGTATACGTGAACGAATCGGAATATTAGCACGAACTCGACCTTGAGATGATGAAATTCGTTTTCCTGTTGATAATGGTAAAGTGTTCTCCATGTTGCCGCAATATAGATCGGAATGTCAGTCACCAAACGGTCCCGATGTTGTTAAAAAAAGATAATAAAAAAAAAGGAACGAAAGATTTCTAGGAAGAGACCGTCTCCTATGTAAACAAATACTTATTGATCGGCCAATCAATTATTTGGTTACACCGCATAATTTTACTGCGTTTTTGCAGAATACGGGGACACATTGCAGGAACTAAACTTTGATAACAAAATCAATGAAAATTTTTTTCTAAACCTTTTCATGTGGAGCAAGTGAATATTTGTGCTACAAGGATTTTCGGGGATCAACATCGCTATCGTACTACAAATATAATGTGATCTTTTAGTTTTATCCCTTCCGACTTTTGTTGGGGTTTCATTTTAGGTAGTAAATTTTTAATTGCTTTTAAGATTCTTCAGTTTTAAATATAAATCAATAAGTTTGGTAATTTTTTTAAAATTTCTTTCAAATATTACTAGTAATAACTATTATTTTTAATAAGAAGAATGCATTTATAAATCAAAGGTTTATATTTATTTTATCATAAATAGAAAATCACATGTTTTATTTAAATATAGGAATTTTGATTTTATACAACAGAATAAATTGGAAATTCCTATTTATATAATAGTATAATTTACAAAATAGGAATTTCTAATTTTTGAAGATTTTATATGTTCTAATTTAACCAATTTCAGATTTATTTAAATAAAGTTGTCTGAGAGTTGCAATCTATTGTGCCACATGGTGTAATTGATTGCGTAACTTTTTTCATTTCTTTTTTGAATTATAGAAATTTCTGAATTATTCCATTATAAAAATAAGAATTTCCAATTTTTATAAATAGAATTCTATTATATAAATCTACAAAAACAAAAACAAAAATCAGGTTTGTTCTATTCTTAACTTTTCATGATAAATCTTTTTTCATTTAACTTATGAAATAAAGGTTTTAAAAATATTCTTATTAATCAAATAAACAAAAACTGAAATAGATCAATTTTTGGTGTCATCTGATACTATAGTAGAAAATTGCTTCATGTTGCATAAATTATAAGCAAAGTCAAAAAAAAAAAAAAGTAATTACCACATGTTTATGGAATTTCAATATGCAGTAAATCAATGATTTATGCAACAGGGTACAATTTTCTACTAAGGTGTTTCTCTGACATCAATAGAAAACCCTGGTTCTTGACTATATGTTTCATCTCTGTAGTATCAATATTCATCAAAATATTCTGATATAAAGAAATTTATGAAAAAATTCTGAAAAATTTTGAGTGGTAAATATTCTTAAATATTTTGTCTTTTAAAAGTTCCTGATGAATTACCATTATAATAAAATACATTATAATGAATAATTAGGAAATAACAAAATGCATAGGTCAAAATATTACCTATATGACACTTAATTAGTATAAATAAGTGTTAGTAATATTTTGAAATACATACATTTAATTTTTTTTTAATTAAAGTATTCATATATTAAAATTATTAAAAACACTTTTCAACATTTTATTACATATACAATATATACAATATACAACTAATTTTTGATGATGATGTAAACGACCACCTTTATAACAATTTAACTTCCTCCTCGATGATGTAACCCACTATTAGACCATCTATAATCCCGTTCACCCATTTTCTGACTATTATTATCACTACCAACACCAATTGGTGTAACAGGAGATGACATAACCGGAGAATATCCACTTGATATACTAGAAATTGGAGATGTTCCAGTAGATATGGTAGAAGTGGAGAACATGACATTACTATTATTTGCTTGATGAACGAAATATAGAAGTACCGCACTTGCTAACCCACTCACAAGAAATATCACATCAAACCATCGATAATAAAAATTAAATTCAATTGATCCTAATAGACTTGATATTATATTTCTATATATAACAGGTAGTGACATTCTCATCATTAATAAGGAACTTAAAAAATACATTCCCATGATTTGAGCCAAAAAAAGAACAATATTGTTTCTTGATACAGAATTGGAAAATGCTCTAAAAACCTATATAGATATAATATAAATATAATTTAGTTATAATAATTTTATAAATACTTTCTTAAAATTTGGATTACTTACTTTAAGTAATTGAATCAATAATCCACGAATTGAAAATATAATCATTAATCCAACAAGAAAGAAGCTTAACTGTTGAGACCAAAAATCAACATTTATATCAATATTAATGTATCGTATCGCTAATGTTAAACCATAAGTTATTGGATCAGTTTTTCCTATCCGGAAGAAAATAATATTTATGGTTGCCTTTTAATGTCAAAATATAATTAAAAAAAAAATAAAATAAAATAAAATAAAATAAGGGTTTTAAACATAAAAATATTGACAAAATTTCAAAAAAATATTCCTAATATAAATGTATAATTTTACCATAACAATTTTGTAAACACAATAAATTGAAAATATATAGCCCATAAAATTGAAATATTTTCCCTGCCAAGTTTTTGAATAATGAAGACGATCCTGAAAAATACATAGAATCAAATCAATATATAGATATGTATTATATTAAATAAAATAATAATTGTAATTATAAATGAAAATTTACCCTCTCTTGATATAAATCTTCAATATCTAAAAATAGTTGACGACTAAGATTTTCAAGACCAGAAATTTCTTGTCTCAACATTCCTATGTCTTCACACAAATATTAACAAAATATTAACAAAAATATTAACAAAATATATTAAAAATTTAAATACTTACTCTCGCTACCCATTCCCATACCACTTGTTACTGTATTAAACATCTTTCGCACAAATCCACCTACTCTTGAACTTTGCTGTTTTAAGAATAAATTATATGTTTTTACCATATTTCAATATTTTATCAAATTTTAAATACAAAAAATATATATATATATATATAAAAATAACCTCAGCAACACCTCTTTGACGAACTTGTGAAATCAATATACGTTTCTTCTTACTCATAATTATATCCAATGTTTGAATATATTTCTTCTCAGCAGCTTGAATATCTGAATCTTTGACTTGTCTACAGTATACGACTTTGAAATGGTTAATAATATATATATATATGTATATGTATAATAGGTTTTAGAATAACTCAAAACAAGATTATAATTCTCAAAATATTCTTGCTAAATCACGAACCTTAGAAAAAAAAATAAAGTGGCATAAGGACTGTTTACGGCACCAAATCCTGATAATATTGCCATAATGGTGACACCTATTACACCTACACGACTCATTCCAAATTGTATAAACGCGTCGCCTTGGTTTACGGCATTTTGTGAAGAATAATCTAATTGAAGATGAATATAGATAAGTAATAGTAAATAATTTATTTTTCTTTAAATTAAAAAAATTTTTAACATACTTTTGTCGGTGGTCTTTTCGATCGGAAAAAAATCCCCAAATTTCCAAAATAAATAGAAATAAATGACCCAACAAAGTACCGAAATAATTATGGTATATCGTAAACTTAATCCTTAATAAAATTCATAAAATTATTTTAAAAATTATTTTAATGAAAAGGTAATTAATAACCTTTTTTAAAACACTCATTATTAATAATATACTGACTTTCTTGTTTATTCGTGATTAAAAGATATATTTGATAGAATGGTAACAGAAATATTACAAGGAAAAGTAAAAGGTAAAGAGTAATTTTCCAGCAAACCCATCTTGAACTATAAAAATCATTACCAAATTTTATTATTGAAAAAAATTCTTTAAAAAAAAAAAAAAATAATAATAAATATTATTACTCTTTATGCATAACGTCCATGATTTCAAAAATTATCAATTCAAATAATGCACAACTAGCACTGAAAGTAAGTGAAAATATTGCTTGGACGACTTGGGCGTCATGTCTATCGATTGAAGATTCATAGTCTTTGAATAGTTTTTTTACTAGAAACACCCAACCAATAGCAAAGAAAAATATTTGTGAACCAAGTTGTATAAGACCATTGTATATTAATGTGAAAGTAAATTCGGAAAACATGATTTAAAAAAAACAAGAAATTCTATTTTTCGTGAAACACAATTATTTAATGATTATCAGTAATTGATTGGTTCCATATTTTTCTTGTTATCACGTGCCGTCGCTTAGAGCAGTCCAATAAAAAAAAATAAGAAAATTCTCGATCATATATAGTAAATTCGATTAACATGTACTAATTAGCATATATCACACGAAAAAATTCTTACTACATAACTGCAAAGCAAAAAATATATAAAATGAATTAATCTGGGCAATGTACAGGATATCCTATACATGAAAATGGATCATTGTTATTGTTATTGTTATTATTGTTATCATCATCACCACTACTATTGTTATAATTATACTTATTCAATATAACACTGACATATATAATTTGACATATTACAATTTTTTATAGATATTACTAAGTAAAATAATTCATGGACATAATTTGACATAATTGTTTTACTAATGGATGTAATTGACATAATTATTTCACAATGAAGTATAATTATAATTATTATCTTCAAAATTATCATGTGATAATAGTTGTGTTGGTTAATGTGATAATTGTTGTGTTGGTGATGATTTAGTTTTTAGACACTTTTTAGTTACACATTTATAATCATATTCTTTTTTTCTTTTATTATGAAGATTATATGTTGATGATAATATTGTTGTTGTTACTGCTGATGATGATAATAATAATATTGTTGTATTATTATTATCATTGTTATTGTTGTTATTATTATTATCTTCACCAACATTGTTGATATTATTATTATTGTCATTATTATTATTATTGTTATTATTATCACCATTATTGTTATCATTATTGTTATTATTATCGTTATTGCTATCATTATTATTATTGTTATTTTCTTCATCATCATTATTATTATTGTCACTATTACTATTATTACTATTATTATTATTATTAACCTAATGAGATAAGATAAGCCTCACTTTTTTTTTTTTGTTAAATACCATTAGCAATATTAAAAAAATCATTATTATTGTTATTATCATTATCATTATTATTGCTATTATCATTATTATTATTTTTATCATTATTGACTTTGTTATCATTATTGTTACATCATTATTATTGTTTTTATCATCACTATTATCATTATCATTATTGTTATCATTGTTATTATTTTTATTATCAACATTATCATCATTATTATTATTATTTTTATTATTATTGTTATCGCCAATTAGAATTGTTAACAAAATATGATACTCTGAAACAACTTCAGGTTATAATCCACTCCATTATGAAGTGGGTTAAAAATTTCAATTATATAGTAACCTGGATTATAATTTAATTATAACTCTGGATTACTTCAAATAATTTACTTCAGGTTACTTCACATGGAGCAATAATTTTATTAATTGAAATTTTAATAACTGGTAATCAATTTAATTTTAATTTATAAATTTTTTTATTATAAATAAGAGGTCTAAAAATTTTTATAATATATTTTCAAATAGTGAACTTGAAAAATTTGTTTTATATTTGTATCTACAGACTTAGATAGAAAGAAAAGTAATCTTAGTTTAAATTTTAGTAGAAATGAAAATGAAACTTTAATTATAACCATATCTTAAGAAAATAAAAATAGGTTATCTAAATTAACTTCATGAAAATCTTCATAAGTTTGAAAGTTTTTTTCTAAAGAATATAATAAAAAACAAAAAATCATTACTTATATTTGTTCTTTATGTAAAATTCAATATAAACTATCTAATACTGCAGAAAAACTTATAAAATATTTATTGAAAAAGCATAGTGGAAAAATTAGTAATATACAGAGTACCATAGATAAATTTGTAATTAAACCTTATGTAAAAACTGACAAATGAAATCAACAACTTATAAATACAATTGCAGATTTTATTGTTTGTTGTCAACTTCCTTTTGCTATTGTAGATAATCCATATTTTGATATTATACTAAATACTTTTGATAAACATTATCAAGTATCAAGTAGACAAATAATTAGATCAGAAATAATAAGTAATTATAATAATATGCGTGAACGAATTTTATTAGAACTTGCCCAAACAAAAAAGTATCAATAACTTATAATATCTGAAGTTTAATTACAATGCAATCTTATTTTAATGTTATAATTTATTATATTGACAATAATTGAAAATTACAATACTTTTTACTTGATATTGTTTATTTTCCTAGATTACATATAACAATTCAAATTTAACAATTAATATTACAAGTATTAAATGATGCAAATATAACTGAAAAATTATTAGGAATAACAATGGATAATATATAATCTATGAATACAGCAGTTAGAGAACTTAAAAGAAAATTAAAAAATATTGAATTCATTCATCAATGATGTATATTATATATTTTAAATATTGTTGTTCAATATGAATTACAATTGTCATTATCTCTTATAAAAAAAATTCAAGAATTTGTAGTAAAATTTTAACAATTATCAAAATTTAGTAATTCATTAGAAATAATTTGTAGACAGGAAAATATATCAGAATTAAAATTTGATTTAAATATTGAGACTTGATAGAATAATACTTATTTAATATTAAAAAAATTTCATCGCATGAAAAATATTTTAAATATTTTAGTTACAAAAAAATCAGGATTTGATTATTTTATATTTATAAGATGATGAATAACAAAAAATTAATAATATAATTCAATTACTTTTACCTATTTTTATAGTAACAAAAATATTATCATCATTAACTTATCCTACAATAAGTAATATATAATTAACTTTAATTGATTTAATTCAAAATTTAGATTTTTTATTCAAGATTAGATTTCTTTAGATAAATGTATAATAGCTAATTCAATTTTCTATAAATTGAAGGAATATTGACAAAATGTAGAAAAATCTACATCAATTAGAAGTTTATTAGGTTCGTGTTCAAAAACAAAACTTTCAAAGATATTAATAAACGTAATATGGCAATTGCATCATTACAAAGTCTTATACCATTATATAAAATTAATAAACAACTGAAAATATTATTTCCAATTTTCAATTTTAAAGAAATAAATAATTATTTTTTAAATTTCTTCTTGATGATCAAACTTCTGAAGAAATACCAACAAAAGATGAAATAACTAGATATATATCTGTACCTGTTGATTTTAATTCTAATTCATTAGATTAGTGACAACATTTTGAAAAAGATTTTTCTATTCTTTCACAGATAGCAATGTATTATCTAAGTATTCAAGATTCTAGTGTACCTTCAGAACAAGCATTTTTTATTGCTATAACTACAATTACAAAAATTAAATGTAATTTAAAACCAGATACTATACATGCAGTTATGTATTTAAAAAGTTAGATTCAACAAGTGCAAGATAAAAAAGAAAATAATAAGTTTGATGAATCTTTTTTTTAAAATATTAATTATATTAATTATATATAGTTTTAATTTCTTTTAATTTTTTATTATTTTTTTATTATTATATATACATCTAATCTAATAATCTAATCTTTTTTTTAATCATTTATTAAAATGATCATACGTAAATCAAGATTCCGAAATATACTAATAAATGGCATACTGAATTTGCAAAATTTTAAACAAAAATAAACAAATATTTTTTATAATAACTCTAAGCAAACTTAATATGAAATATCAAAATTTTGACAAAAAATAAATAAAGTCAAATTATGACATATAATCATATATTTTAAAATTATTTGGATGCAAAAAATATTTTAGTATAATTCACAGGTCGAAATCCATATTTCAGGCATATATCAGGGACCAATCGGGTAGCTATCGGGGGGACCAATAGATA